CTCTGGTGGGCACATGCACCCTATGACAAAACCCTAAAAAAAAAAAAATAAGTTTAAAAAAAATGAAAAACAAAAAACATAGATTTGTCTATGGACAGTTTCAATAAAAATTCCAATAACTGTTTTAAAGGAACTTGAAAAGTTCATGCTAAACTTCATTTAGAGGGGCCAGCCCATGGCCTGGCAGTAGAAGGTACTGCCCGCAAGATTGACGCCCATGGGGAGGTTGCAGTTTGCAGCTGGAGACTGCTCTGAGTCCGCTGGGCGTGCGTGCCGTCACCTAGGCTGGTGAGGCTGGGGGTGGAGTCCAGCATCATGACCCTGTTGAGGTCCTCCCTCTCTGCGTCTCTGTCTCTATCATTTATGGAAGAAATAAATAAGGGAAACAAAAAAAGATCAGGGCCTGCTCCATGGCCTGGTGGTTAAGGGAGCTGGCTCCCACATGGCTGGCTGAGTGGTTCAAGTCCCAGACCTGGTGACTTGAGAACACTCTGGGCATGTGTGTGTGTGCCCCAAATCCTGACGGGTTGTCGAACTGGAGGAGAATAGAGTGCGGTATGACTGTGCCCCTTGGGAGGTGCTTTCTCCCTGTCTCTCTCTGTCTCTCCATCTCTCTCATAAGCACATGTGACCTGTAGTAAAAACCTTCTAAATAGTCATTTAGAAGCAGTGCACAAGAATAATTAGACCAATTGTTTTAAAGAATAGAAATTAATCTAGAGGACATTATGCTAAGTAAAGCCAGCCAGACCCAGAAAGACAAATGCTGTCTGACCTCACTTATATATGAACTCTAAAAAGTCAAATTCGGGGCCAGCAGGTGGCCTGGCTGCCACCTTGGACTTGAGACCAGCAGATGGCATAATGGTTACATCACTGGACTCCCACATAGTTGACTGCAGTTCGAGTTCTGGACCCGGTGGCTTGAAACTCACACTGGGCGTGTTAGCCAAAATCCTGACAGGAGGATGGAGGACAAGCGATTGCAGCATGGCCATCCCCTGGTGGGGGTGATTGCTCACGGTCTGTCTATGTCTGCCCAGCAAGCACATACGCCCTATAGCAAAAAATGCTCTCTTAAACAAAAAACAAAAACAAAAAAAGACGCTGGACTTCATGGCCAACTGGGGTTCAAGTCCCAAACCTAGTGGCTTGAGAACCACGCCAGGCACACGTGTGTACATGCCCAGAATCCCAGGAGGAGAATGAAGAAAGGGCTGGAGTGTGGACATAGCCTCTGCTGGGTTACTGCTCACTTTCCCTCTCTGGGGGCACATATGCCCTGTGGCCAAAATTGGGGGGCGGGGGTGGGAATCAAGCCCTTAAAATTAGAGTAGGACAATTCTTGCCCAGGGATGGGAGTGGAGGAAATGGGGACATTTCAGTCAAGGAGTACAGATCTTCAGTTATTACATAAATTCTGGAAATCTAACGTACAAGCACAATGATGATAGTTAAGAATACTGTATTATATACTTACAATCTGGACGGTAGATCTTCAGTGTTCTCACCAGCAAGAGAGAGAAAACGCAAGGTGCCTGTTAGGTCGTGGTGGCGTTAGTTACCTCGACTACGGCAATCCTTTCACAGTATGTATCAGACCATCACATTGTACAGCCTACGTGTATACACAAGTATTTGTCAATAAAGCTGGGAAAATTAAACATAAAATCATCAGGGACCAGCAGATGGTGTAATGGCTACGTCGCTGGACTCCCACGTAGTCGACCACGATTCAAGTCGCGGACCCAGCAGCTTGAAACTCAGGCCGGGCACATGGGCGTGCCCAAAATCCCAAGAGGAGAATGAAGAAGGGACTGAGGCATGACCATGTCCCTGGGGAAGGGGACTTCTCGCTTTTTGTCTCTGTCTCTTTGGTGACGCATGTGCCCTATAGCAAAAAATCTCTCTCAAAAATAAATAAGCAAGCTGGCCTAGTCTCCGCGGCACGGGCGGTAACAGGCTGCACTGCTGTGACAGAGGCAGCATGGCTGACCACAAGTTCGGATCCCTGCTCCGCCTGGAGCATGCTGGGCACGTGTGACCGGGAGCCTGAGGAGCTGGAGGGTAAGGGGAGGGGATCTCAGTATGACAAGACCATGCTGACGGTCCTTTCTCTGTCTTTCCCGTGCAAATGCATGCACTCTGTCATAAATAAAAAACAAAACATGAACTACTGATACACAAAACATGGTGACTCTCAAATGCAGTATTCTGTGCTAGTTTGGAAAAAGGCCAAACAGTAGGGACTGAAATCATGAGTAGTGTCAGGAGTGGGGGTGGAAAAAGGGCTTGGATAAAAAAGGATATGATAAGGGCCAGCAGGTGGCATCGTGGATAAGGCACTGGATCCCCACATGGCTGACTGTGGTTCGAGTCCTGGACCTGGTGACTTGAAAATTACACTGGGCATGTCCAAAACCCTACGAAGAGACTGGAGAGGAGAGATTGCAGCGTGGCCATCCTCCCAGGGAGGTGCTTTTTTACTTTCCTTGTCTCTCTCTTTCTCTAGCAAGCACATGCACACTATGGCAAACACCTAAAAAAGGGAGGAAGGGGGATATAATTATTTTGCAGTGATAAAACTCTTCTCTTTTTTTTTTTTTGAGAGGTTTTGGCTATAGCGCGCGTGCGCTCGCCAGACAGACAGAGACAGACAGAGAGACAGAAAGCGAGAAATCACACACACACACCCCAGGGGGATGGCCACGCCACAATCCCTTCTCCTCCATTCTCCTCTCGGGATCTTGGGCATGCATGCACACGCGCCCGGTGTGAGTTTAAGCCACCAGGTCTGGGACGCGAACCGCGGTCAACTATGTGGAAGTCCAGCGACATAGCCGTTACACTAACTGCTGGTCCCTTGCAGTGATAAAGCTCTTCTATGTCTTGATTTTTGTCGTGGTGATTTCACAAGTATATGTCTGTCAGTGAATTTTACTGAGTATAATTATGCTTCAATAAGACTGCTTTAAAAAAAGTCAGCATAGCAGTCTCTGTGGAATAGTCAGCTATGTATTGGACTAGGGGGCTGGAAGCCACGTGCTCATCGCAGCCCATCAGCCCTAAGGCACACGGGCACATGCACATGTGCGAGGATCCAGAGGGTGGAGGACTGGACGGAGGGGATTAAGGTATCATCAGCCTGTGGACGGTGTCTCTCCCCATGCACATGCACGTGCTCTGTCGTGGGTTTTAAGGAAGCACAGCAGAGGCACAGCAAGAGATCAATAAACCGAGGGCATTCCAAGAGAGACCAGAGGGCTAGCCCCGTGGTGCAGGGAGCACTGTGCAGAGGGAGCCTGATCCCATTTGTCTGACCACTGTTCAAACCTAGCCTCAGTAGCTTGAAAAACACATTTTGCATGCCCAGAATCCTAATGGAATGGAGAACTGGAGGGAAAAGGATTGCAACGTGACCACACCCCATTGGGGATGTCCTTTTGTCATGTGCTATCTTTTCTGGGGAGCGCACTTGCCCTCTGTCAAGAAAAGTAAATTAAGAGAACCCAGAAATATGTAAATAAATGCTTATGTGTATTCAGGCATATATAACAAATACATATACTTTCTCATATGTATAATATGCATCTTATTTAGTCAGGGTTCTCCTAAGAGAAATAGAACCAAAAGGATAGCTTATGTACATACATACATACATACTTACATACGTACATACAGGTATTCATACATACATGCACAGAGATCTATCGAGGGGATTGGCTCATGAGCTAGGCTGAGAAGTTCCAAAATAGGTCATTCTTAAGCTAGAAACCCAGGGATGCCAGTAACAGAGTGCAGTCCCAATCTGGAAGCCTCAAACCAGGGGAGCCAATCGCAAGGCTTAACCTGAGGCTAAAGGCATGAGAACCTGGGGGAGAGGGATGGGAGACTGCTGTAGTCATAGAGACCAAAGGCCAGAGTGCCTGGAGTTCTTTTTTTTTTTCTTTCAATTATTTCATTTTACCTGTTATTATATTAATTCACTATAGGGCACATGTGCTAAACAGAGAAAGACAGAGAGAGAGAAGGAAAGTGAAAAAGCAATTCACTAGGTTCAGGACTCAAACTATAGTTGACCAGGGCCAGCAGGCGGCATGGTGTTTAAGGCACTGGACACTCCCACATGGCCAACCAGGGTTTGCATCCTGGACCTGATGGCTTGCTTTCTCTCTTTCTTTCTCTGTCCCTCTCTGGTCAAATTAAAGTAAATAAATAAGTAGTTAAATAAAATAATTTTAAGAAGAAAAAAAAATACTAGAGTTGGCCATGTGGGAGTCCGGCACCTTACCCACCATGCCACCTGCTGACCCCTGAGCCTGGAATTCTGATATCCAAGGGCAGGAGAATCGGGGTGTCTCCGCTCTAAGAGTGCAAACTAGCTTCTCCTCTGCCTTTTGTTCCGAGCCCCAGCTGACTGGATGGTGCCCACCCACATGGAGACAGATCTTTCCCACTCAATCCACCAACTCAGATTGGTCTCCTCCAGAAATATCCTCACCTACACCCAAAAACAGTGATCTCTCAGCTGCGTATCCAGTCACTGTGACACCTGTCCTCCTGGGCACTGAGACCAAAAGTCAGTTTCATAGAGGATTTGATAAGGTTTTTGTTTTTTTTTAAATAATTATTTATTTTATTTTATTTATTCATTCATTTATGTTTTAGTTTGGCCAGAGAGAGACAGAGGGTGAGAGTGAGAGGGAGAGGAAGTGAGAAAGCAAGCCACCAGATTCAGGACTTGAACCCTGGTCGGCCATGTGGGAGTGTCCAGCGCCTTAACCACCACACCACCTGCAAGGGATAAGGGTTTTAAGGCACAGGGTCCGGGGCTCTACCACAGTCAACTGCATGGGAGTTCAGTGACATAACCATTGTGCCATCTGCTGGACCCAACTTTACCTTTTTTTAAAGTTTATTTCATGAGAGGGAGACAGTGAGAGAGAGAGAGAGAGAGAGAGAAAAACACCCTCAAAAGGGTCATCTGCCCCACTCCCCCACCCCCCGGCTTTTCCAAACAACCAGGGTCTGGGCTTGCCCCCGTAGGCCCAGTGCACACAGGTTGGCCTTGAACCCTGATTTTCCACCTGATTTCCAACATCGCAGAGCATCGCGCTATCACTGCATTGCTGGAGCGGGACTGTTTTTCTTCCTCTTTCTCTTTCTCTTTTTCTCTTTCTCTTTTAAACCAGTTCTGTTCCTGTAACTCGTATGAACAATCATTTCCAAATATGGCGAAGTATATTTTGGGTGGCATATTTTGGTTCTCCACAGTTTTCCCTTTGAAACTTTATTTTTAGGAAGTTTCACATACTAAAGTAGGATTGATAGCTGAGAGATTGACAGGGGGAGAGAAACACGTTTGGGGAAAAGAACAAATTGGGAATATTCCATCCCACGTCGCTCTCAGCCTGGAAACAAGGCCAGCTCAGGTGCTGCAGGCAGGCTGTGAGTGAGGTCTCCGCATGGCACAAGGGTGCAGGTAAGAGATGTTTCTGGAAACTTTTTGTTTCTTTATTTCATGTGTATGTTTATGTGTGTGAGAGAGAGACAGGCACCCCAGCAGGGCCTTCCTGCCACCATCCACTCCTGGTCTCAGCTGGCAGGCCCAGGGGTCCCAGGATGTCAGCCCAGGACCTTTCCCATGTGGGTCCAGTAGCAGTACCAATGTGCCACCACCTGGCCCCAATAAGAGGCATTTCTAAGGAAACAAAAGAAAAACAGAAGTTAATGTTTTTAACAGTTTGAGCCACTTTGTGAGTCTGAAGGGCAGCCAGCCAAGGTTTTTTGTTTGTTTGTTTGTTTGTTTTTTTAAAGACTTATTATTTTTAATTTATTTATTTAGATTTGATCAGAGAGGGACAGAGATGGGTTGGGGGAGGGAGAAAGCAAGCTGCCAGGTCCGGGACTCAAACCATGGTCAGCTGTGTGGGAGTCCAGCACCCTTAACCACCATGTCACTTGCTGGCCCCCAGCCAATGTTTTAGAAGTTAAACTTGAAACGTCTTCATTTAAAATGGAAACAAGCAAGCCAAGACAGTCTCACAGATTTCCTGCCTGTAGCCTACACGTCGCGAGGTTGTCTTAAGGTAAGTGGTTGCGGTGAACCTTCTTCAATCCCAAGTTGACCAGACTGTTTTGTTGGGTCTCATGAGAAAGGCAGTTTTAACTTCAGTGAGTCCAAAGTAAGAAAAATAGGGTAATTGATAAATTAGGTGATGTGGAGGTTAAGGCACTGGATCCCCCATGGCCGACTGCACAGTTCGAGTCCTGAACCTGGAAGCTTGAAAAATGCACTGGGCACACATGGAGGACGGAGAGGGATTGTGGCATGGCCCATCCTCCCTGGGGTGTGATTTCTCACTTTTCCCCCCTTTCTCTTTCTCTCTCTGTCTCTCCAGCAATGCATGTGCCCTATACCAAAAACTAATTACATAATGGGAAAATTGATGTTAGGTGGGAGACAAATGCATTTTTTTTCTTAAATTGTTTTCTTCGCTGTGGTTAAAACACGGGTTGTACAGGGGCCAGTGGGTGTTGTAGTGGTTAAGAAGCTGGGTTTTCACTTCGGTGAACACAGTTCAACTTCTGGACCTGTTGTCTTGAAAATCACACCAGGCACGTATGCTTGTGTGCCCAAAATCCCAAGAGGAATGAATTACAGCATGGTCATCCCCCTTTCAGGGTGGGGAGTGGTGAGATTTCTCACTTTCTCTTTCTGTCTCTCCAGTGTGCACTCACCGTATTGCAAAAGCCTTAAAAAAAAAAAAGGACACAGTAAGAATATGCAATGTGTGTCCAAAGCAGTGATCATTGTTAATGAGTAGACTAAAACATTCCTTGCAAATCAATTAGTGTTAAGGTAAATTAAAGTGGAGACCAGGCCTAAAGAATGCCTGAGCAGACAGAACCAGTTAGGCCTCCTAAGTGACCTCAACTTTGCTTATTTGCAAACACTGGCAAAATAGGAGCTATTTCTTATAAATGCCTGTATTAGAGAAAACAGAACTTAAGCTCAACGAATCAGAAGTAGCCAGTAAATTATATAACTGGGGACTTTCCGAAGCGACAGACCAAACAAGGCAACTATATCATTGTAACCAATCAGATGTTTTGCTAAACTCTGTAGGTTTTTTTTTTTAAGAATTATTTTATCTTATTTTATTTCATTTTACTTATTTTAATTTGATCAGAGAGGGACAGAGAGAGAGAGAGAGAAAGCCACCAGGTTTGGGACTTGAACCGTAGTCAGCCATGAAGGAGTCCAGTGCCCTTAACTACCATGCCACCTGCCGGCCCCCCTCTGTGTTCATTCTATAAAAGCTTCCCTCTTTTGTTACCCTGAAAAGCTTGAATGGCTTGTTATCACCTCTCAGAGGGAGAAAACCAGTCAAAAATTGTGCAAAGGAAAATATAGTGGATATAAATGTAACAACCACAAGTTGAACGTGTGCAAAACTCTGTGTTTGTATTTCAGTATTTTTCCTACCACCTTCAAGGGTTTTCTGCTCTCTTCTTCCCCTCCTTCCTGGGAGCATGGGCAAGAAAGCCAGAACAGGGAGGGTGAATTGTTCTTACTCATTAATCTATTCATCCCACTTGGATTCTGCTTCTGTCCTGGCACCTCACTAGGGTCTGCTAGTCAGTAAGGCTGATCTCAGGCTCTACTACCTGATAGCCATTCTCAGCCACAGATACTCTATGGCTTAGGTGCCATGTTGGTTCTGGTGAAAGACTGAATGCAGTACCATGTTGAATGGAGTACCATTGTGAATATGATACCATGTTGGGTAGAGCCCCATGTGGGATAGGGTACCAATATGATGGTGATACCATGTTGGGTAGAGCCCCATGTGGGATAGGGTACCATTGTGTGGTGATACCATGTTGGGTAGAGCCCCATGTGGGACAGGGTACCATTGGGTGCTGATACCATGTTGGGTAGAGCCCCATGTGGGATAGTGTACCATTGTGATGGTGATATCATGTTGGATAGAGCCCCATGTAGGATAGGGTACCATTGTGTGGTGATACCATGTTGGGTAGAGCCCTATGTGGGATAGGGTACGATTGGGATGGCGATACTATGTTGGATAAAGCCCTATGTTGGATTGAGTATTACTGTGATGGTGATACCATGTTGGATAGAGCCCCAGTTGGCCAGAGTACCATAGTGTTGGTGATACCATGTTGAATACAGTACCATTGTGTGGGGATATTGTGTTGGATAGAGTACCACTGTGATGGTGATACCATGTCAAATAAAGCCCCATCGTGGATAGAGTACCACTGTGATGGTGACACCATATTGGATAGAGCCCTGCATTGGATAAGGTACCATTGTGATGGTGATACCATGTTGGATAGAGCAACCATGTTGGATAGAGCACCATGTTGGTAATGGTGCCAAGTTGGAAGGGGGCATGTTGGTGGGCCATTATTAAGTGCTGCTTAGACTCTCAAATGACAGTACCAACGAACCTTATATTTCCCACTTTACCCTAAAAGTGTAGGAAGTTACTGCATGCACTGTCTTCTGAAATTTATTCCTAAGAGAGTGTAACTAGGGGGCAGCAGGTGGTGTGGTGACTAAGGCGCTGGACTCCTATGTTACTGACCACATTTCAAGTCCTAGACCTGACAGCTTGAAAATCACACTGGGTACACATGCCTGCATGCCCAAAATCCCAAGAGGAGAATGGAGAAGGGAATGCGGTGTGGTCATCTCCCCAGGGGACAATTTTTCACTTTCACTCTCACTGGCTCTGGTGAACATGCATGCCCTACGGCAAAAAAAAAAAAAAAGAGAGAGAGAGAGTGTGTGTGTGTAGCTAGAGCCTCATCTCTGACTTCTTTCCTTTCTCCTTTTCTCTCTCTTTTTTTAAGTATTGAATTGAGGGAAATAAGTTACTCAAGTGTTAACTGGTCATAGACAATAGGAAGAAACACGGTAGAATTGCTTGGCAGAGAAGAGATTACTAAAGGCTCTGCCCAATAAATATGCAGATTCCAGGCTTTTCATATTTCTCCTTGGTCCAGTTTCTCATGGGTCACTTTCCAGTCAAAAGGTTCTGGAACTCAAAGAGGATAGACTTTTTTTTTTTTTTTTTTTTTTTTGGGGGGTTTTTCCCTTTGGGCGCTCGCCAGGCAGACAGAGAGACAGAAAGCGAGAAATTACCCCCCACGGAGGATGGCCACACCGCAATCCCTTCTCCTCCGTTCTCCTCTCGGGGTCTTGGGCACGTACGCCCACACCCCCGGCGTGAGTTTTAAGCCACCGGGTCTGGGATGCGAACTGCGGTCAACTACATGGTAGTCCAGCGACATAGCCATTATGCTGACTTTCTTCAGCTAATCAACAAGAATCTTTAGGGCTTCTCTCGGTCAAGGAATGCAGTGAAAATATCATTTCCTAGATTCCTCTCGAGGACTGGAAAGTCTTTTGCATCACACTGTCGTGCTTCCTGCTCTTGGTCCTCTTGTCCATTACTCAGTCTGTAAGCATCTTCTCATCTCTTTCACTGCCACGCCACCTGCTGGCCCCTAGGCTGCCGTTTTGAATGCAGGAAGTCTCATTTCCTATTTCTGGAATGGCCCAGAGTCCTTTTTTTTTTTTAAATTTTTTTCTTTAAATAATACAGGGTAGGGACCAGCAGGTGGTATAATGGTTCTTCGCTGGACTCCCACGTGGCTCACCACAGTTCAAGTCCCAGACCCAGTGGCTTGAAACTCACACCAGGTGCATGTGTGTGTGTGCTCAAAATCCCTAGTGGAGAATGGGGGAGAAGGGGTTGCAGGTAGCCACTCCCCCTGGGGGGGTAATTTCTTGTTTTCTGTCTCTCTATCTCTGTCTCTCTGGCTAGCACGCACCCTATAGCAAAAATCTCTCTTAAAAAAATGATAGAGAGTATGTGCACTCACCAGAAAAAGAGAGGCAGAAAGCACCCCCCAGTGGGCTTTGGTCATGCTTCAATTCTTTTCCTCCATTGCTCTATCCCATCAGATCTCGGACAAACATGCGGACATGCCCAGTATGTTTTCAAACCACCAGGCTAGGATTTGGACGACTGGCCACATGAGATCCAGCTCCCCGGCTGCAGACAGCACTCAGTCACTGTGCTCCAAGGCCCAGCCAGTCTTACTTCTCATGCCTGTGTAGACATTAACACTCAAACTCGAGAGCGGCAGTCTGCTTACACACCTCTTCCTTGTCTGTAGCAGCCATGGCCAGGCACATGCTGACCACTCTGGCTTGCAGTTCCCCATCTGGTAGTCCCCAGTCTTTCCTGCACATTGAACTCTGCACTTACTTTTCATTTAACTGTCAGAGGGTACATTCGCTTGCCAGAGGTGGGGAGAGAGAAACACCATCGCTCAGTGGGCACGGTGAGGTCATGAGCCCTTCTCTTTCCTCTGCATCCTCTGGGGAATTGGGCAGCCACGGTACTCTTCCAGCATGGTTTTCAAGCCTCCAGGGTGGGAATTCAAACCACAGTCCATGTGAGTCCAGCTCCCTTTAACCAGTAGGCTATGGGACAACCCTAACTTTGCATTTCAAAGAATGTTATACTGGGACCTGCAGGTGGTGTGGTGGTTAAGGCACTGGAATCCCACATAGTTAACTGCAGTTCAAGTCCTGGACTTTCCAGCTTGAAAATCATACCTGCCATGTGTGCATGCATGCCCAAAATCCCAAAAGTTGAATGGAAGGGAAAGGACCTCTCACTTTCCCTCTCTCTGTTTCTCTCTGGCTAGTGCACACACCCTATGGCAAAATGTGAAAATAAAAAAGTATACTGGGCCAGTCTCTCTGGAACAGGAATGTTTCCAGGTTATCTGATTTGTTGCTGATGGGACTGGAAGTTCTTCGGGAGGAGATCTGGATGGTGAGATTAACTC